AACGGCGTATTATTGTGCCATCTCAAAGAGGCACAAAATCACTTTCACAGACTTTTTCATTAACTGTTCCCTCCTGGTGGAATGACCTGCCCAACTCAATCCGAGCAGCTGAGGCCTTACCCATCTTCAAGAATCGACTAAAAACACATCTGTTCCACCTTTATTTGACCCTCTAACACTTTCTATTCTATTTTAATTCTACTTTATCTATGTATATTTGTATTCTTTATTTTTTTTAAAAACAACAAAAAACTAAAACTAGCTTTCTATTTTTTCTATTCTATTCTTTTTTTGTGTGTATATATACAGCATATATATATATATATATACACACACCTTGCTATGTGTACTGCGTTAGGCTAACCGAGACTTGTCATTTGCACTTATATATTGTTGCTCTTTTGTTAGTTTTGACTGCTTTTATTGTCCTCATTTGTAAGTCGCTTTGGATAAAAGCGTCTGCTAAATGACTAAATGTAAAATGTAAATGATAAATGACTAAAAATACAGTATATCATGTCCTCTGCTCTATTTAATACTGAAAATAATAAAAAAATAACAAAAAACAAAACCCTGAATATTATTATTATCATTATTCGATTAAAATCGGTTATTATTATTAAGCTATGATTATTGTCCAACTTTGATCAGCTACTTTTAATGCAGCAGCACGTACTACATGTTATGTTATGTGTGTGTGTGTAAATGTATTCGTACCATATGTTCTCTGTAAGGGTTGATTTGAAAGTAAATGTTATGAAACGCGTGCAGCTGGATAAATAACGGTCTCTGATGTAGTAAACTTAGGGTCAGATTCCGTATGCTGTTGGTTTTGGTAGATGTTGGTGCTTATTCATCTCACGAGGACGCTTGATTTGCCTTGCTGAATCCCTTCAGACAGTTTTTAAGCGTGGATCATCAGTGCGTTTATTTCTCACCTCCATAAAGCCAGTCCGTGTCATCATCAGCTGTTTTCTCTGCCTCTGTGGCGGACATGATCACCTCCGGGCTTTTGCTTTGAGATCAGAGGCTCATCAGTTTTCAGATTCACCGAGTTCGACAAAGTAACTTTGCGTAGTGTGCTAATAGTTTTCGGGTTTACCGTCACAGCTGTCACAGTGACACGCCGCGTGCTGGTGTTAGTGGTGCAGCAGGTGCGCGTTACCAAAGAGACACATCTCACTGCACGCGCACGCAGGAAGTTCAACATCAGCACATCAATACACACATTTCTTTTTTTCTTTCGTTTCTTGGATTAACAGAAAACTGGTTTACTTGACTCTTAATTTTCTTAATTTACTTTTACTTTTAGTCATTTAGCAGACGCTTTTATCCAAAGCGACTTACAAATAAGAAAAAGTAATTCAAACTAAAAGCTAAAACTCTGTAAATACTATATATATATATATATATACACACACACACACATTTAAGAAAATAAAAGAAATTAAATAAAATGACAACTGCATACAACATTTCGAAACTAAAACATTTAAATGAAAACAAAAAATATAAAGCTAAAAACAATTCAAACATACACAAATAAGAAAAAGTAATTCAAACTAAAAGCTAAAACTCTGTAAATACTATATATATACACACACACATTTAAGAAAATAAAATAAATTAAATAAAATGACAAATGCATGCAACAACATAATAACATAATTTTTAACAATGAACCAAATTTAAAGGCAACCACGGCATTTATAAAAACGTCAAATCATACTGAGACAAACATAAGAATATTTATTAAAAAATGATATATATATAATGGTATATCAGCATCTTGATAAGCGAATAGCCCGCGTTGTGTGTAGTAAATCAACGGATTTTTTTTGTTGCTTTTTATGTTGCTGTTAAAGAATGAATAGTGACCTGTTTTTATTGTAAAATGGGTACAAGAGTGGATAAAGAATGATTTATAGTATACAGTACTCGACTTTTCAAAACGACGCATAATTATCGCGACGCCCCTGCGCCACGTCACCTTTGAGAGACTCGCATGGGTTTGTTTTGAATGGTGTCTGTTTGAAAGCTCTGCTGTTGCTATCGTTCGTCTCAATTTAAAACCCCCAGCATTTGCGGAAATATGTTGCCCACGGATGGAGTCATGTCTTTTCCCGGTCAGACGTGGGAAAAAGTGCTGTCAAAGGTAAAAAAGGCTGTTGTTTTCATGGATGATCGGTGCTCGGAGGGTCTGCACTGGAACGGAGGAGCTGCGCTTCTGTTTGAGGCTGGAGCTCGAAACATCAAACCGTTCTCAAGCTTTGAAGCAGGCGGACAGAATCAACCCAAAGCTGTGTTTGTGGTCAGCACCGTGCTGAAAGGTAGAACCGCAGACATTATCAAAGATATCATTTCCCTCAGTCACTTCCAGTACTGCGTGGTTTTCACAACTGTTCCTCACTCCATTCACCTGCTTGCGAATAATGTGACTACTGATCTGGAGGGGAACCCGGTGTTTGAGCAGTTTGAAGAGAAACTGTGTGAGTGGATGGGTGATATGAACTATACCGCTGAGGTCATGCATGCTCCTGTGGTCTTTGCCCCTCTGACACAACAGCTCCACCTTTTGCCTGCTTTCTCTGAACTTTTCCCTTTATTGGAAGTGGATCTTGAGGCCATCAATGAGAAGAGGCCAGAGAAAAAACGATTTGGGAGTCTGATGGATGTGGATATGCACTCTCTCCCACCTGAGTTGCAGATTCAGATTAAATCCCTGGCATCAGCCCTCAACGCCCTGTTTGAGTTCATCAGTACCCGTGAGGAGAGCTTTTCTGTGGGTCCGATGAGCCGTCTGATCGCAGGGGAGCTGGCCAGTCATCCACAGGCCAAAAACAGGAGGAAGTCAGTTCCCAATAAAGCATCAATAGTGTTTATTGATAGAACTCTTGATCTTACAGGTGTGGTCTAAATACTGTATTATATTCAATCATTAGTGCTTAAGTCAAGACACTACTGGCTAAATCATTGTTTTTTTTCATGCACTGGTCAATTTTGTGACTTTGGATTGTTTGGCTTCCATAACATGTCCGCTTTCAGTTTAGTGGGAAGAAAATAACCAAAATACACATTTAAGTGTTTATTTTATTACACTTTATCTGCTTACATCAGTAGGTTTAAATTACAATGCATATCTTTCAGGGCAGTTTTCTCAAAATTAAACATTTTTCTCCTACACCAAGCCAAAATTCACCACTTTCTTAGTACTTACCTAAGCCAAACGTTAAAAAAAAATGTTTTTTTAGATGGGATTGTTAGGGATCATTTACCTGATGACATTTTATTCCTAAAATCCTGTGAATAATGTTCTTGTTTTCCTGGCTGTTGAATGTATTTTGTGTTTTATGGCATGATACAAAAATATATCCGAAATTCCCTCTGAATGAATTGAAATAAGAATTATGAACCTGGCTTTATCCAATGTTCAGATTTCTGTTCTGGACATGTATTCAAATTAGTGCACATTTTATTAGATAATGCCTCTGCGTATTTAAATGTAACCTTACAGAATTTGTAATGTTAAGCAACTGTCTTTACTGTGATTAAACAACTGGGAAGATATGAAATCTGTGATGTCTTTTCTTAATATGTCACATCATGGCGGCATATAACACAGTATAACTTATTCTATCTCCTTTCAAAAGCTATTTACTTTTTCCTCTGTTTCTCTTTTGCCTAATCTGTAGGAGCTGTTGGCCACCATGGGGACAATCTGGTTGAGAAAATCCTATCCGTGTTGCCACAGTTGCCAGGTCATGTGACTGACGTTCAGGTGGACATGCTGGAGCTCACACACCTGAAGCAGACAACTGATACCAAGGGCATATTGGCACCAGGCTGCTTGGCACAGAACCAGTAAGAGCATTTACACTTTTATGGCATGCAAACAGAGTATCATAAAGTTAATTCTTTAGCTCAAAAAACTAAAGTCGGTTCAGAAAATGCCCAAAAGCACTATTGTAAAGGCCAGATGAATATGCGATGAGATCATGTTCACACTGTGGTGGAATTACAACCCCAATTACCGTTTTTAAAGCTACACATTATTATGAATTTTCAGTATTTAAATTTTTGTATATGTTTTCAAACTGATCACATCTTTAAGATGGGCTGGTTGTAATAGTAACACATTTAACAAACATTTAGGTTTAGATCTAGGGTTTGATTTTGGAACTGAATAGCTTTGTACTTAAAGGGATAGTTTAACCAAAAAGTTTTACACAAAAAGGGATAGATTTAAACAAAGATATTTAAAAAATATTTTTTTGTCCATATACTGAAAGTCATTATAAAAAGTTATTTTGCCCCATAACTTAACTTATTCTACAGAGCCATACAGGATTTAAACAATCTTTTAAACAATCTTTACTTCAAATGTATTTATATATATTTATAAATAAATAAATAAAAATTAAAAAGTATATTATGATATACTTCATGTTGCTATCAAATGTATATAAATATAAATAAATACGCACGCACATGCAAAATGTAATTATAGCTTCAAAAATCACAAGTAAACAGTCACTTTTAAAATGAAGAACAAAGAAACAAATAACAGGCAATAGAACAAAGAGTACTTCAGAATTCAGTGTCTGCAGAGGACAGACACTTTTTTTCTTGTCAATGTCTTCTTTTTAATAATTATTAAGGACATAATAGACCACAGCAGCTCTATATAGCTGGATTTACACATCAACAGTTTTTGACCAATCTATCTGATGGTTTGGGGCCAGTTTTACTAACAGCTTGAGCCAGCACAAACCGTCTTTGGACGTTAAAATAGTACTGTCGTGATTTACTAAAGATGCGCAGTGACAAATTAGCACTGAAAAGGCATGAACTCAGTTATTTTTGCGCCTGACCTTATATTGAATATGCATTCGTTGGAGTTTCCCTTTCAGACGCAAAATTTATGGGAAGAGAGTATTAAAATGAATCACGCAACGCTATTTAAAAAGCATTAAAGGGGCCCTATTATGCTTTTTCACTTTTTGAATTTTAGTCAGTGTGTATGTTTGGGCATAAAAAAGATCTACAAAGTTACAAATCTCAAAGTCCACTCCAAAGGGAGATATTTTGTTTTTTTTTAAATCCCTTTTCAAGAACTACAACGAATGGCTCGTTTGGACTACAGTGTTTTTTTCCGGGTTTTGTGATGTCACAAAGCGGCCCATTAGAATATCATTAAACTAAACCCCCCTACGGAAATTCAAATGGTTGGGGGGTGGGGAGGGGCGAGGTCGTGGTTAGAACGCTTGGCTGAGTGCATCAGACAAGACGACGAGGAAGAAGAAGTGCTGCTGTAACGTCAAGTTTTGAGGGGAGTCATGAGGGAATACCATAGGGGAGTACAGTGCTGGTTTCACCAAAAAGCTTTTGCTGAAAGACGGAGCAGTTCCCACTTTGTCGGGACAATCTGCTGTATCTGCATCACAGCCTGTAAGTGTGCTGCTTTATTTTGTTGTCGTGTGTGTTATTTACGTTTCAAAGTATAAGTTGTATGCCATTTCTGCGATGTAATACATATTACCGTTGCACTTATCTGTACATAGTAAATGCAGTTATTTTTAAGCGGTTGTTGACATCCTATCTAAAACGTGATTTAGCCAAAACAACAATTACGTTACCACTCTAATATGTCTTGCGATATCCGTGCGTGCAAAGGTTCTGTGCGATCCTCTTGTTCAATATTCTCTGGGTCTGAATCCGGCTCAAATTGATATGGCAATATTGACACCATCCTTAACTATACCGGAGCAGACGGAACTTGCTGCTTTGGCAAGGGGCGGGGCAGTACTGAAACACCATCTAAGCTGTTCGCCAATCACAACGCACTGGGACAGCTAACCAATCACAACACATTTCGTTTTTCGGAAGGCGGGCCTTCATCAAACCCGGAACTAATCGAGCCGTTTGTGCCAGGCTGGGTAGAAAGATATTGTAATAATGTAAATTATGTGAAAAATAATGCGTTTTTCGAACCACCAAGCATGAGAGCATGTTCTAGTACACCCCAAAACAAAATCAAGACTTTGTAAAAGAGCATAATAGGACCACTTTAAACTAAATGAATGAAATGCAATGAAATGGCTGCAATTGGTTACACCGCAAAGAACAGAGAGTACGTGGTAGAAGGGAGAGGATTTTTTTCCAAATTTTTTCCCATTTTATTTGGAATGCCAGAAGAACACATTATCCGAACATATCGTTTGCCAAGCCATGTTATTTTTAATTTGCTTTGGGAAATAAAAGATGACTTAAAACCCTCAACTAGGAGTCACGCAATACCAGGTCTATTTTTTGGCCTCCGGTTTCTTTTAACGTACTGTGGCTTCTTTATTTCTTTATTCTTTATTTGTGACTACACTAATTTGCGCTGCGCTTGGTATATTGTGTTGGTCGATATGTAAATTAGATGTTGTGTCTGTGTTCTTTAATTTGTACGTTATTAGTAAATCACCCACAGAAATTTCCATGGCCATCTGCGTTGTTTTGGAATTGTACTCTTACTCTAATTTGACATGTTTAGTAAAACTGGCCCTTTGTCATCAATGTTCCAAGGGTAATGTCCCTACTGTAGTTTGATTTAGACCAAAAACAGTTCTGGTAAAGGATTAGAGAAATATATTGCATAATCATGACTGTTCTCAAAGTCTTTCTGTCCACAGTAGGAAAGATCTGAGGAAACCATGAGACTTGGTTACACAAATGTTGGTACAGGAACAATGCCCAGCCAAGTATTTTTAATGGAGAACCACCATTTCTTTTGTCATCATAAATGTGTATTTGAATAACTAAATGGTTTTGCTGGAGTTTTTGCCAATGTCATTTCCTACGAGGCGGGATGTGGTAAAGAATGACCCCAAGTTTCTGCTGTTCTGTGTAATATTGTCATGCTGCTCAATTGTTTTAACACGTATTTGGTGAACTCGCTCACTGTCTGAATGGAAAATAATATTTTTCCTAAATGAACCCAGTCATGCTTTTTGGATGGGAATTTTTTGCAAAATGTATTGCACTTATGGCCTTTGACTGAACTCAGTCTTGAGTGAATCTACTGTTAAAATGTTTGGGGTAATTGACATCATATAAATACAAAATATTCTCTTGATACACGATTTTTTTTAAGCAAGCAGCAATGTCAAAGCTAAACCTACTTCATCTGGAAGTCAAATGGCATTAGCATGGAAACCCAAACGCTGTTACGACCCATTAGGTCTAAACCACATGTTAGACGTGAGGGTTTGTTAACGGAGGAACTTGTTTTGTATGTCTGTTTTCTTTCCACATCTCATCAGACAGGGATTCAGAGAGCACATTTGCCTGCGGAAAGAATTTGGCTCCAGAGTGATTGAGTTAATGGGATAGGAACGTCTCTATGAGCTATATCAATGAATAAACTAGTTTCACCTTTTACATTTTGTGCTGCCAAAGCTGCCAGATTAGTCTGGTCTCCATTGTGGGCTCCCATTGTGCCTTTTTGTCTTCTAAACCTTGTTCAATCACTGTTATTGAGAGCATCGAATCTGCTTTTTTACCTACACAATATATACACAAATACACAATACCACATCCCTTCACTGCCATTAGCTGGTTACAGTAGCACCGCAGTGCTAAGTACAAACACACTCTTGAGACCTCCATGTAAATATACAAGAGCTCACTGTTAGCCAGATGGCGTGGAGACTGAATAGGACAAGTCTCCGTTTGAAGAGCCTTCTGTGACTGGATGTGTGCAAAAGTGCGTATTTAACAGGGTTTGGAATTGGTTTTCATTGTGTTGCGCTTTAAAAGGCCCATATTTCCCACCTTTGTAACAATTTATTTTTCCTTGAGGGCCACTCACAATGATAGCTTATGTTTTCTACAGCAAGAACAGTCAGAATTTAGTTTTTCTGACCTTCTCTGAATCTTTTACAAAACATTAATTGGTCAAAACAAAACCACTGAAGAGTTTCTTTGCCTTTAATGAGATGTGTATTATAAGTCTATGCAAATGATCGAAAATTCCTTTTGCTTGGTCGATCATGTGCTTGACTAGAGCAGCGTGAAACAGAGCTCATCTGACAGGCTTGGCACATTTCTCTGAAGGACTGTAAAGAGCATGCTCTGAGCCTAAATAAGCCTGCCCTGAACGTGCATCCAAATGCAGAGATGAGGTGGTGTGTACCTGATGCTCTTGATTCATTCTTCACTGTATATAAGCCACCCTATATGTGGAGCTCATAATCCATGGAGGTTTTCAAAATGTTGAATATGGAATAACGACAGTACGGTATTCACAGATAACATTACTTTAGTTTATCAGAATTACATTTATGGTCATGGAACAAATGTACAGAACTTTTCTTCATTCTATTTTACAAATGCAATATATTATATTATAATAAATGTAATCATTTAAATTGAATAAAATCATTTTGAAATGTTAATGTTAAAAAAGTAAATTGATGATTCATATATATATATATATATATATATATATATATATAAAAAAACAATAAACTTAGATTTTTATAAATGATATAGTTGGTAAATAATAGTACTTGTACTGATAATGAACTTACAAGAAAACCATATGTACGCTTTTAAAGTGTTTGTGCAATGCTGACTGCTTTGAGATACAGTATTAGATTTTTTTTTTTTTTTTATCTCTTTGCTTGGATGATTGGGGTGTTTGCTTACTGGCCAAAATCAATAGAGCATACTTGTTGTGTACAAGTCTCTTTGATATTCTCACCTCAAGATAAGTCTATTGAATTTGTTTTGGCTGCTTTGTAATCCACCAGGTGTAAATTGTAAGCCTTATCCTTAAAAAATAGAAAATAGCACACCTCAAAAGCCTGCACTAT